TGTAATAGTGGGTGCGTTCGTTTTTCTCAACCGTGTATTGGGCAGACAGGGCAGCACAAGCCGGGCTAATCGAACACTCAACCGCGGGCCATCACGACCCTTACGTGACGCCCTAATATAGCCGTGGCCGTAGCCTTAGTTTGGGTCTTACTGATTTTAGTTATTGCAAAAGTCAAAAAAGTTGGGCTTGAATTATAGCCTCAAAAATCAAAATGAACCCAATAAATGATTACCTTTAGACTTCAAATAAAGTAAACTTTTAAGTCCACTTGAGATTTCCGCTATCCGGCCGCCATAATTGTGGGTTCTAGGGAAATGAATAACACATGCGTGACGTGCTTCCACCAGTGACTCTGCTCCACGATCAGGTTCAGTGGTGGTTGACCCGGGTGAGCCCCGAGACTTGTTGCAAAAAAAATATTCTAAAACTGAAGAAAAAAAAGAAAGAAAAAAGGTAAGCGACTTCCATAACATCCGAAAAAAAACAACGGTGTTAATTAAAAGCACAGTCAGATATCATAACAATTCGTAAAATTACAATAGTATTATGCTTTCTTTAGAGTTCTTAAATGGACAATTTTCGGTTCCAATTTTCCGGCAAGTAGGAAAAGCTGGCAAAATGATCATTGGTGAACAAAGAATCAGTTTTATCATTTACGTTCAAATCAAATAATAACTTTAAATTTAGTAAATTTTATGAAGGTTTCTATTTAAGTATAACTCTTTAATAATAATAATAGTAATATGGAGCATTTATAGTGCGCCAGATCCACCTTAGATGCTCAAGGCGCTTAAGAAAGTCGTTGTAGCACTCTTTGACAACAAGATCAAATACCAGTGCACGATTTTTTGTGCAAAGCGAAGTGAATAAAAATATCTATGCTTTCAGAGTTTGAGTACTTAGAAAAAGCTTATGATAAACGTTTTTCACTATCTGCTTTTTTACTCTACATGTATATCAAGATTGTCACCCCGAAATTTAGTGTTTATGTAATGTGAACTACACGAGCATCTAATTGTGCAGCACTGACTGAATTTTCATTTTGATCTCTCTACAATACTTTAAACTAAATCTTCGAATAATAAAAACATAAGTTCGAGTAGCTAAAACATCGGCTTATTGACAATAACTTCGAAAGATAATTATAATACTATTTACAGTGAGAGATTCTAACAATTCATACTGCAACCATTCATTAATTTCAAATTTAAAAGCTTAAAAAAAGTGAAAAGGTGCCAGTGCTGAACACATGAGAGCTTAAAAAGCAGTTACAAGGTTTGAATAATAAACACATTAAAAGATTACAACTCGAGCTAAATATTTGACTCGACTCGATTCGACTCGACCGTATTGAACTGATAACTCGACTCGACTGGAGTCACTTCTTTAATGTGGGAGTCCCGATATAACAGGACACCGCCATTGTGTATGGCGTGTTTATCGTTTATCTCTATGACACCGCGCGCTATTGCGTGCGGAGGGACTGTCCCTCAATGAGAAATCATTTTGCGGAGAGCTCGAGTGGGCCAATCGATGAGAAATTCCTATAATTTCGGGGGACTTAAGTTCCAGGAATACCGAATGTACACCACTCCATGTACATGCATTGAGACATCCTAACATTTTGGACTGACTGACCCTGGGGTAAGGTTTTATATATATTTATTATTATTTTTGAAGACAATTATTGAACTAAAAGTGTGTCTAGAACCCAGATATTATTATGAAACTGTGTATTATGTAATCAATAGGCAATGCTTATTTTTTCTGTTACAGGGTTTTGTTTTGGGGTTTTCTATTCCTACCTCTATGATTGACCAAGCATCCGATTGGAAATAAACCGTAGTGATCGAGAAGTGATTGACTGGTGTCCAGTTTCATCCGTGTTTAATCAAGGACGGACCCCAGCCCTACAATTATAATAGGGTAGACCACCACAGTAAAAATGGCGTCGTAGACAGGATGCTGGGAGTTATTGTCATCAAGCTACCTCTACCAAAGAGACCCCCAGAGTCAGACTGGATGATGGCATTACCGGGCGGTGTGGCCACTTTGACATTTTGTCATGTAGTTGTACTTGTGTGACGAGCACAAGTCTGTTTGTATTGTTGGCATATGCCAACTTGTTTTCATGGTGTACAGCCATGGGTATTGATGTATAACCCTGCTATGTAAGACTTTTTGACAAACTCACTTTTTTTTTGGCTCACAACAGAAGATTTTGTGTAGTGTTGTTGGAAAGTGCCAACATTTTGTATTCACGTACTACTTGTAAGGTGTGCTACAGAAATTTTCAGAGAAATTGCAGCCTAGAATATTCTTTTGTATTTGTGCGCTTTCACTGATCTATCCAGGGAATTTTTGCATTTGCATCCCCTGTTGACCCTTGTTGTATACAGCTCATTTGAAGACTGTTTGTATTGTATGGGTCTACTCTTTTCTGTCCAATTTGTTCCAAGGTGGAATCTGTCAACATTTTACCTTCCTGCTTTGTATGCATGGAATTCTAGTTCTAAATTTGTAGAACTATATTTGTGCTCACTGTTGAGTGGTTTTGTGAATAACCCATTGTGAGATTTTGTTTGGCAATTTCACCAGAATATTTGGGACCTTGTAGAGACATATTTTGTGGTCAGTGAATAGTTCACTTTCATGGCTAGGCTTTTTCCTTATGTTTTGACTGGATTTTTCCTGTTAAGCGTACACATTTTGATTGCATATATTGCATCTAGTCTTATTGTAGACATGTGACATTTTGTATTTGAATTTGGCCCTGATTGTGTTTACATCAGCTGAGATTCTTGTATAGCTTTGAAGCTAATAACTTTGGTTTGAATTATGGCCACAAATGAGGTCTTGGTAAATGTTGTTGTGGAATCTCATAGAGCCTTTATTGATACTATTGTTGGAGCACTGAAAGGTATCAGTTGTCCAGGGCCTCAGCAAATTCAAGATTTGAAATGTGATCAATCAAGTTGGGAAAGAGACCCACCTGTTGTAGAAAGGGCAAAGTGTAGTCCATATGGCCCAGCAATTATATCTGATTGTGACATAGATGTAGATCACTTTGGTTCAAGTGACCATGATGGTCTGTTACCACTACTCGAAAGTCAGAAATACTTAATCGAGTTAGTAAACATTTTGGTTTTGCAGCAGCAACAAATTAATGAGCAGTTAGATGATCTGCAATCCAATATAAATATTCTGCTTGAACTTAGGACAGAGGAAAAAGCAGGGAACCCACTGGATGAGCCTGCGTACTACCCTCTTGATGAGGTAAATGATTCCAGTACTTTGAACAAACCCCATGGTGATGACTTTGTGATTTTGACAGAGAGTTCTGTTGATGATTGTCGACATTCATGTTCACCTTGTATTTGTGATGAAAATTCTGATTTTAATGATGAGAGTGAGTGCTCATCTGATGAGGATTCAATTTTGGTCGTTGTTCCAAATGTTGACGAGGTTGAAAACAAACCTCCTGTAATCTGTAATTTCAGTTCGATTAAGGGAGCGAGTCAAATTGGATCTTACATAGCTCATAGGCCAAGTTGCACCTGTACACTACCTGTAGTTGGAACACACATGTTCACCCAAAGTCCAGAGGAGTTTGGATTGAGGCCCTCTGAACGTCGTACGAGACTTTGGGGTTGCCGGCCAAATGCAATTACCTAATTATTTATCATTAATTCTGCTTGACGATCGAGTTAAGTAATGGGTCCTGGTACTCCTATTATAGGACATGGTTTGACCAGCCTGGCACCCTGTAGCTTGCTACTTGTTCATGTTTTATTGTTACTATAACAAAGTTGTTGGTTTACAAAATATTTTGATAGTGTGCTAGCTATATTGCTATGCTAACGTTTTCCAATATCTTATAGGAAGCATTTTGTTTTCTTATACTGTGAACAAGTTGAAGAGCGAGTTTGAATTCTTCTGAAATCTGTTTAACACAGTTTGGAGTATTGGAAGTACAACATTGTAACTTCTTGTTGACACCAGTTTTCTTTAAACACTGTATTCTATACAGAAAACAAGATAATATCTTTACTATAGCTAGAAGTTAAAGCTTGTAACAGTAAAGTAAGGACTGATGTGTACCTTTAAATTATGTGTTTTTCACTTGAAAGGAACAGAGAGAGAGTTTCTATAGCTTTTCATTTGAGCTTACTTTTAATTACAAATGTGACCACAGGGGCTGGTCCGAGTATCCCAAACTCAAACGTTCAGATTATTGAAGATATCTATTACCCCCATTGCTTGTTTTAAAGGTTATTGATTGTAACTAATGTAAACTGATGTACATATCTCCTTGGGTCATTGTGATGCTTATGTACGTGCCATTCGGGTCGCATGGCATAAAAGCAGGGAAGTTGTGGGAGTCCCGATATAACAGGACACCGCCATTGTGTATGGCGTGTTTATCGTTTATCTCTATGACACCGCGCGCTATTGCGTGCGGAGGGACCGTCCCTCAATGAGAAATCATTTTGCGGAGAGCTCGAGTGGGCAATCGATGAGAAATTCGGACACATACATGTAGGAGAATGCTGTACGCTAATGTCACTGTCAGGAACTCAGGAATGATAACCCTGCTTCCTATAATTTCGGGGGACTTAAGTTCCAGGAATACCGAATGTACACCACTCCATGTACATGCATTGAGACATCCTAACATTTTGGACTGACTGACCCTGGGGTAAGGTTTTATATATATTTATTATTATTTTTGAAGACAATTATTGAACTAAAAGTGTGTCTAGAACCCAGATATTATTATGAAACTGTGTATTATGTAATCAATAGGCAATACTTATTTTTCTGTTACAGGGTTTTGTTTTGGGGTTTTCTATTCCTACCTCTATGATTGACCAAGCATCCGATTGGTAATAAACCGTAGTGATCGAGAAGTGATTGACTGGTGTCCAGTTTCATCCGTGTTTAATCAAGGACGGACCCCAGCCCTACAATTATAATAGGGTAGACCACCACATTAAAATGACTCGACTCGAGTTATTTCCTGAAAAAAAACTTGACTCGACTACAGTCACAAAAACAGTGACTCGTTACCACTCTTGTAGGGACGAGCGGACATTTCAGGGAAACTATTCTTTTAATCTCTTGCAATGAAGCACACGTTGTAGTCTTCCGGTGCCAACACAATCCCATCGACTGCTTTGACGGATACCGGAGTTGTGTCGTCGGGGTTCTTAAAGCTGAAGTGATGCAGCAAGTGTGTAAAGAAGACAAAGAGCTCTTGTCTCGCAAGATGCTCTCCAATACAGGCGCGGCGACCTGGATTTGTAATCGAGAAAGATTGTTGAGGAAAATCACAAATGAATTAATTGCAGACGTAATTATTTATCTAACTCTGAGTCGGGCATATTGAAAATGTGCCATTGATATTAATCATTTGCAATTTTGTAGCACCAACTTTGACCAGAGCGCATACATTCAAGCTCGAAGTCACTTTCTTTTGCCTTATTTATTTTATTAACCTCTCAGTTTGTTGAACTCGTTAGCCAAAGTAGCCAGTTATATTCCAGCTAAGTCTGCCTTGAGACAACCACTTATGTTCATTTACCTATTCCAAATGATGTGAGCTCCTCACGAGATTGAAACTTCCCGTCTTTGTCAAGAAATCGCTCCGGTCGAAAGCTCTGCGGCTCCTCCCATACAGAGGGATCAGAGTGGTTGTGCCACAAGTTTGAGAATACCATCGTTCCCTTCGGTATGTTGTACCTATTCACAACACAGTAAACAACTAATTTATGAAACCAAACGATTCTTCGAAGAACTACAGTGTTCACATTCACGAACTTTGGAGAAAAGTGTAAGGGTGTTACATATGCTTTCTTACGGACTCACAACACTTTTAGAAACAATACCGTACCCAATTAAAGAACACAATAGTCTGTTGTGATATGGTCCATGGGCCGTCACAACCATCACAACCATACCACAACCATACCACAAACTATCCCGTGAACTGAACACTTACCCCATTAATGTCGTATCCTCGGAACACAGATGAGGTATGGCCATTGGTACGACGGTATTAATGCGTTGAATCTCACAAAGCACTGCCTCGGTGAAGGGCAGCTCAGGCTTGTCAGCGATTCTCGGCATTCGATTACGACAAGTGGCGTCATCCAACTCCTTCTGGACCCGAGCCTGTACCTCAGGGTAGGCCATCATGTAAAGTATCGCCCAACGGATTGTGGTGGCAGTGGTCTCCGATCCAGCATTGAACAGGTCGCTAACAATGCGTGGCAAGTTCTCGCTCTGCAGCGCCAGGGACTCAGTGCCCTGTTTATCTTTCTTCTCCTTTTCATTCAGGAAAACATCGATGAAATCCCGAGGGTCCTTTTCGTGAGTATGTTCCCCTACGAGCCCATAGATGTAATTGTAGAAATTTTTGACTGCACGTACATATCGGCGCACCACGGGCAGCATGGTCAACTTGGAAAATATGGGGGACGTTTCAAACACGCCCCCGGATCTTCCCTGGGTGACGTGTTCCGATACAACCTCCAAGAGGCGTTGGAATGCCGGATCATCGTACTGGAATCTTTTACCGAACACTACCGAGCAGATGACGTTAGATACGGCGTAACCTACCACGTTTTGGGGATCGAAGGCCTTGCCGTTCTGTTTGCCGATTTCCTCCATGAGGATGTCCGCTTCAGCGGAAATGTTCTGCTCGAAGCTTGATTTGCCAACCCCGAGACCTCGAAGCACGGTCATGCAAAAACGACGGATTTCTACCCACTCCTCGCCAGAAGAATCAAGAACGCCTTCACAGAGAAAAAAAAGACCAAAACAATGTTCAATTTGCCTTTTTGTTTACTCATTTGATTGAACACTGATGGCAGCGGTCTATTCAAGTGAACAATAAAATAGCCAAAGTCTTTACAGCCTGTCCCCCCCCCCCCAAAAAAAAAACATTCCCAAATCATCCTCATGCCCTTTACATATAACAAGACACCCCAACGGATTTTTAAATGCCTTACACCCCCATTATTACAGTGTTAACGTACAAGAAATTACCCACTCCAAACAGCGATCTGCTATTTCGCCCATAATGTCTCAAAAAGTAAATGTTTTACTTTTAAGTTGAAACGGGTAATATTATTGTTGTTGTGATACCAGTCTCACCTATTGAGTTTGGAAAAATCTTGTTGGTGATATACACCACAGGTCTGGCGCTGAGTTGATATTGAGAGAATGCCTTTTTCACTGTGTCATACCCGTGGAGAACTACCATAGATATGCCACCACCATCGACATGTATTATACTGCCGTGCCTGCAGAAATACAATCGGTCAGTTACAACTCTTCTATTTATCAAACTAGACTGCAATCACACCGCATAGCACATCCGTCAATTCGTAATTATATGGGTCTCTCTTTTCGAAACATGCATTAGGTTTGAAGGTTTTCTTTCTTAAACTTTAGATTAGAAACATAACCTTCCGTTGTTTGAGGAACTTTGCCCTTTACTCATCAGTATTGTGAGCCCTTTGCATGTGCCCATGCAGTTAAATGTGAGTGCACGCCAGTCACAGTTAACCTGAAGGTTGGGTGTGCATGCATGCTGCTACTATAAAATGTAAACGACGTGAGGATTAATTGTACATGCACCCACGGCATTTAAATCTCTGGGGAAAATTATCCACAAAGTTGGAATGAACCAACGGTCTTCACTCTGTCCCGCACGTAAGAGGCCGATAGTTCCGAATATTCGTTACATTGTGGAAATGCCTATATGCTATTGCTTATTGCCATGAATCGATGATGGAGGGACTGGGAACCAGTCTACTGCCTAAAGCGATTGGTGTCAGTAGGAGTTCAGACCATGTTTATATTTGATTTGGACGAAACCCTTGAAAAAAATCGATAAAAAAAACAGCCATGCAAGCGAAAGATTAAGACAGCTACAAAGGTGTTCCTGTTCATCTGGGTTCGAACATTTTTGTAGGGAAACCTGGAACTGCGTTTCGTTTATTTTCTGAATGTAAACCATATTATGTTGATTATCATTTTTCTATTTCGAACTTTTCTAATTGATTCGATTGAAAGCCACTAAAGCCTTTACAGTCACCTTTATAGTTACCAAAATATTTCACTCGAAAACACATCAGCACAACTTTGGTAGATACACGGCACGCCCATTGTAAGCCTTTTCGTCCCTACATGTGTTGCCTTTTTACTCTCTATGGGGTTTCACATACTTCGTAGCATGTCTTTGACAGGTGTGGAGATTTTGCGGGATTCCATGGTTTCCTGGTATCTCATGAAGTGTCTATGCGTACAGTAAACTAAAGTTCACTCTACCACTTACCTTTTCGACTGTTTTGAAAAGAACTCAAACATTGTGTCTTTTGCCGTCATCAGTTGAGGGAGGTTGCCGAGTATAGGCCACTTCCACGGCCCTGGGGGTAGGTTGCGTGGTCGACGAAGGGTCCGGAACAAGACCAGAAATACCACGATGCCGATCAGCAGTGTACGCGTATTGAGAATGTCGATCATACTAAACAGCCCCATGTCGAATACTACAAGAAAAACAAAATCAATAATTATACGCATTTTTAATCGATCATCCTGTCAACATGATTAGTCAGCAACCTCAATTGACGGCTGTTTACAGTCGTCTAGCCACTACAACAACTGAAACTAACAGAAAGCACATTATATTATTACTACTATTACTGTAATAGGGCGACAGGTTTTGCGAACTCTGTCCACAATAGGGCGATACACCTTATTGAGGCGACAAAATAACTGTCGCCCTTTTATGAAAACGACCCTTAGGACAAGGAATTTTGCTGTCGAAAACCATCTAGATCGATTCCTCATGGTCCAATTAGTATAAATACTAAATTTCGTGGAAAAAAAAATAAGGTAAACTTGGGTTAGGTGACAGTTTAGGTTTGTGCACAAGTCTATGGGAAAGTCACCCTACTGCAGCCAAAAGAGTAATTATTATTATTATTATTATATGTACATGTCCATATCACCCAGCAGCACCAAGCAAACCATATGGTGCCTAGTCTAGTTTAATTTTGTTTTCTAGTTTAATCTTACTTCAGTATGCTGAAATGAAGATCGTAGAGTTAGCACAGAAGGCGTTGTGAGTGGCACAATGATCGTCGATCTGCAAATGAAAGGATGCTGGAAAATGTCACCTCTATACTCGATGTATCTAGTCTTAAACAAGAAATGTTGAAATCCAGTTGATAACGCATTGACTCATATCTCCTTTCGAAATAACAGGTGTATGAGATTTGCAAACAGAAACAAGTTGTATAGCAATATATTCAAGCAATAAAGGTGGTACTTGTACCTTGTACATTGATTATACAACATACGTGAACTTCAGTCCATTGCGAGTTTAACAGATGTATGACGAAACTAGGTCACTTAATTACTATACATACATTATCATTATTTTGGCGAAACTTTTTGTCCAGAAGGTAATCATTTTTTGCACAAGGGAAAACAGCCACTTTTCAAATACTACGAGGTTTTATATGAATGTCTATGCATTCCGTACTCTTCTAACGTGCTTACTTGTAGTTCTGTGAAATTCGTTTTACATCCGCCTACAATCCCGACTTGAACGTTTACGGGGACTACTTCGGCTGAGAGCTATACAGTATACGGGAAATCAATGAAAGATATGGGAACAGAGCTTTAATAGTTGGAAATGCCGTGAGTGGTATGTCTGACTCGTGGTCGTGAACAAATCCAGCCAAAGTACAAGGTTAAAGAATAGATAACAAAGCTAACCCCAAGTTAATTAACCTATGGTTTTCTAAAACGACAGGCAAACGTCGTGGCTCAAACGACAGGCAAACGTTGTGGTTTAACGTTTAACCGTCATACTTCAAATTTTAAACTTCGTACTTTCAAACGTGGTTATACCAGTCGTTATACTTGTCTTTGAATTTGGTAAATGTCAGTTTATAATTGTTTATAAGGGATTATACCCCAATTAAACTGTTTTGGAGGATTTTATTAGATTTGCCAGTCCCATCAACTAAAGCATCTGGAACGCAAATAGAACGTTCCTATCAGTTATATAAAGCCGTGCTGGGCAGAAATGAACTGATAATCTAACCAAATTTCATTCAAAATCCTCTATATAAACAGTCGAATACTGTCTAAATCAAAATATTTCCTTCTCTGTCCAGCACGGCTTTCCATAGGTGGCGGCCATATTGAAACCTTGCCGATTTGCCAGCTATTGGCCAATTCATCAGCTTTCCAACAAGCTATAGTTTGACCAGAATCATCCATGTTTTAGACTGCGATACATGAGAGCCATACGGGTTGGCGCTGACAGGGCTTGCTATGGGATTTACTGCACAAAAACCAAAACTAGTGGCATCATGTACCTTCAAGTCTGAAACCCCCCGATTTGCCAGCTTGTTGGCCTATTCATCAGCTTACTAACAAGCTATAGTTGTCGAGAACCATTTATGTTAAGGAACCTTTAGACTGCGATACATGAGAGCCATGCGCGTTGACGCTGAAAGGCCTTTCTACGGAATTTATTGCACAAAAACGAGAATAGTGGCATCATGTTCTACATCTGGCGTTTACTCCAACAGTTTCAAGTTTAAAACCTTGCCGATTTGCCAGCTTGTTGGCATATTCATCAGCTTACCAACAAGCTGTAGCTTGTCCATAACCATTTATGTTAAGATTTAACATTTACACTGCGATACATGGAAGCCATGCGCATTGGCGCTGAAAGGCCTTGCTACGGAATTTATTGCGCAAAAAAAAGAGAATAGTGTCATCATGTACTACATCTAGGGTTTTCTACAAAAGTTTCAAGTCTATTTGCCGATTTGCCAGCTTGGTAGCCTATTTATCAGCTTTACAACAAGCTATAGTTTGTCCAAATCCATCTATGTTAAGGTACCTTTAGACTGCGATACATGAGAGCAATGTAGGTTGGCGCTGACAGGCCTTGCTATGGGATTTACTGCTCAAAAACGAAACTAGTGGCATCATGTAAAGCCGCGTTCGCTGAGGGTTAGTGCGGTATTGAGTTGAATGAGAAATCGGCGCGGCTAATTACACAGGCGATCGTGAACCGCCAGAATGCTGATTTTTCTGCCTTGTGGGCCTGGATCTTCCAAGCAAAAAGACTAGTTGGTACAAAGTCACTGATAAATGGAGGCAGATACCGACTGGTCAATTCGAGCTGATTGTAAGTGTAAAAAACCTTTTCCACATTCAAGACACAATTTATACAAGGGCCGTATATGATGCGTAAAGTTCATGGAAGTTTATTTAACTTTAGTTTATTTCCTCAAAGTCCCAATCAAAGAGCAAAGCCTACCTCAGGGGCATAACTACGGGGACACGGGGCACATGTACCCCCACCCCCAGTGGAAGCTCCCCCTCCCCCCCCCCCCCCCCGCTCCAGTTTGAAAACCTGAATTAAAACATTAACTGTTTTAATAATACGTTTATTTTGCATTTAGTGCAGCTTTTGAAACAAATAACGCATCCCAAGGGCCATACCCTTAGTTAAACCCAAGTTTCTCCGCTGGCTTGAGTACGACTTAATTCCTCATAATTATAATCCCGAATATATCCACACAGTTTAATAGACTAAAGCGCCAACTGTAGTTTAATAGACTAAAGCGCCAACTGTACATGAATCACGGCCAGTGTATACGTCACTTGTCTATCCACCAATCACAGTTTGTCGGTGACAAGTCGGTGACGACATGTCGGTGACCACAAGTGAGTGGTCTGTGACTGACAGGTTGTGCGTGTCAATCACAAATCTCATGTTTGGATGTGTCACCGACATCAAAACAATATCCACCAATAAGAAGCGGTCATTTCAATCTCGGTGACTAGTGTTTATGGTGACTTTATAGCTTCAACGACATTAACATTGCTTTTCGTATCATTAATATAAAGTGAGTCGGTGATGTGTGATTGACAGCGCACAGGAGCCATGCAATCACAAACCAGGTCCGAGTTTTTAGTCACTGCTCAGAAAATCGATGACACTATTTAAGGCATTTGGGGCCTTCTCACTCCTCACATCAACCACAGGTCATCACCACCTTCGGACGTCAACCAGAGACAGAACTTACTGCAAGAACAAGATTTTGCTGGGTGAGTGTTTGAAGCAATCAATTTTCTTCTGAAGAAATTTGTTGTTTTCTGTACAATGTATTTGAATCAATGCGGTATTCAGATTTTGTTGAATGTTGCTGATTAAATGATTCTCTAACAGTGAGCGCGGTGGTAGGCTTGATAGTTCCCAATCTTTGTGTGCTTGTGAAATGTAGTTGCTTTAGGACTGAAAAAAATACAAAGATTTTCATTTTCATGGACAAAATGTTAGATTTCAATTGACTCTGATACTGATACACGTTTGCCAATAGCAAAACGAGCGGGCTAATTTCCGAACCAGAGGGTTTTTTTCAGCCTTTTCCCAACGACCACTTTGGAGTTGAAATACATTAGCTCGATAATTTACATGCATTAATCAAAGCCCGTCTGAACAAGTTAATTTCAAATACTTTTGTAAATTATCGAGCTATTTTAAATCAGCTCTTAATGTAAACGGTTGGTGCGGTTGCAGACCACGGTTTTGTGAGGTCAAATTTCAAGGCAATAAAAATGAGGAATTCCTGTCTGGCAATATCTCCGCTACTACTTCCATTGGGCGCTCTCAAAAATAAATTGTCAACCTACTGACTAGTTTCTCTAGTTCTTGAAAACAAAAATCGTTTGGGTTCTTGTCGGTATGGATAGCACACTATAAAGTCACCTTTTGAAATACATTAGCTCGTTTTTTTTTTATTGTAAAAAAAACGGCTGTTCAAATATCACTACAGTTTTTTAGAGTGTAAATCAATCAAATTAGGTTTTGCCCTTCACCGACGTTTATACACTGTATACTCAGTGTGTTGCCTCTCGAGTGAAAGTTAAGAAAAAAATCACTCGGGTGGGACTCGAACCCACGACCTCCTGCTTTCAAATTCTCCCTATTATAACTTCCGTTTGATGACGTCGCGATCCTGAAACGACCCAAAGTCATTTGCGGTAGTCCAATGAATATCTACGGGTGCAGACCAGCAAATAAACTGCCATACGCGTCAGTGATAAATACCCCCACTTCTAAAGATCAGGACAAATACTCACAACTTTCAAATGTGTTTGAGACACCCTTTGAAATAAAGCTTATTTCATCATTTTTCATTTTTGCGGTATAATCCGATGACCTTTTGGAGGAAAAATATTCCATCCAAAGATGATGACCCTGTAGTCCTGTAGCCCATCGCCCAAGGCACAAACTGCCACTTCACAAAACAATGCACACTCAGGTTTATTAGGACAAAAGATATTGCTCAAACAGGGGCGGAACCAGGAATTTTTGCAGGGGGGCTTCTTAAAAAAATGTATGTCCAATTGTTATGACAGGCGAACATATAGGTAATTAATATTGCTATAATTGTGATTTATCTGTGTGTGTGTCACAGCGGGGGCTGGGGGGGTTGTCCCCCCC